AATGCGGTTTCCAAATTGATGGTATCTACTGATCCACATCAAAATGAGGATAAAGTAGTGAATTACTCTTCAGACTCCCTTGATTCCGAAATCTCTGCAATCACGAATAAAGGATTAAATTAATCAATCTAACATGAAGAAAACATTTAAGAAGACATGTTCGTGGAGGTAAAACATATCCCCGATAAGTTCCCTGAAATACAGGAAATGGAGATAAAATTCCGAGAAGCTTGGATAAATCAAGAGCCAGCAAAGACAAGTAGATTAACAGGGATACGAAGATCCCTACAAAATAATGACTAAATGGTATTTCAGACAATTGGCAGAGATGGAAAATATACTAAATAGGACAATATATCGTATACTAAAGATGGAACTCAACTATGAAAGTCAATGGAACATTACAGGGCATGCTTAAATAAAAACATACGAAAGGAGAGCTGGAAATATGGACATTAAATTCACTAAAAAAGGAAACACGACGATCGACGCTCTTCAGATCACCATAAAAGAAAAGAAATACCAGACCTGATACTCAGGCAAAAGCATGTAGAAACACACAAATTGGCGAAAGCTATATACTTGAAAATCAAGAAATTAACTGACATATTCCATCAATCGAAGGGAGACTGCGACCACACCAGAGGCCACAACATCTTGGTCTTCATATATCTAACTGACATAGTGTCAAGCACAGTAAAAGATTTTCTCATAGGATCAAAGGCTACGATTAGAATAAACGGAATTCTTGGTAGGTTTTGATGTATTATCTAGGTATGCAAACATCTCAGGAAAAAAGATACACACGGCCCTGCTGGAGATTTTATAATAAGAGGATTTTTGGAAGGCAGAGATGATCAAGGGGAGCCTAACACAACTAATCAGCCTGAAGATGAGGACCACCTACTTTGCATTCAATAGAAGCATCTGTAAACAATAATATTTAGACTTCATATCGGATCCGTACTGTAACCTTTTTTGGCAAGCGTATACGTGAAAAACATAGTAGATGAATTCGAGGCGTTACTACCGAAAGCAGGAGTAGCCATGCAATACCTCGATGACAAACCTTTAACTTTGATCACGTATAAGCGAAAATTTAGACAAATTCCTTAAGTTCATAGACTAACTTGATGAAAGAATCATATTCACAATGAAAATGGGGTGGTTACCATTCATGGATGTTGAAATCATTAGCTTGAATGGAACAGAAAGAAGTCACAAGCAGTAATAACCCCCAGTTTTCAGACCTCTTACAAATACAACCGAAGATCGGAATAATAAGGAGTATGCTTATCAAAAGCCTAAGACTAACGGGCATGGAATTATGAGGGGAAGAATTTGATAAAATGACTAAAATGTCTCTCGGCAACGGAAACCCTATAAAAGCCATACAAAGGATCGTGAAAAGCAGATGACAGGATGATGATGAAAGAAAAAAAAGTACAGAGAAAGGCACAAAAATGGATATTCCTACTTCTATGTGAACGAAATCGAAAACTAGGGCGAATATTAAGAAAATTTGGTATTCAGATGATCGAAAAGGAGAAAACGGCACTCTTCACAAGGTTATCACACAATGTGAGGTAAAAAATATGATTTCTAAGGAGATAATTGCCTAATATGCAGCAACTTTGAGCATAGTATATCAGCGAAACGGAAAAATTTTCAGTATACAAATTGAATAACAAAAGCTTTGCAGAATATGAGAAATGATCAAAATTTTAGAACACATTTGATATACATAAAAACGACGTCAGGGAAGAGCCAACATAAACACGAGCCTCATACGAAAGATTAGGAAGACCATCGATAACCTTGCTCAGACTATTTCTAACCATAAGACTATTGCAAAGCGCGTGTTTAAATGAGATAAAGAGAAATTAAATATTAAGTGTTCTTATAGTGCTAGAGCGTTATAGGCAAGCTTGGAAATCAGAGCCTCAGAATTCTGCTCAGTGAGGACACAGTATGCCTGCTACCAAACGTTTGAAGTAGACCATCGAAAATAGTGCCTTAAGTAAAATGTACAGTGGATAGGGCCAAATGAGATTAGTCAAGATAAGAAACGCATCTCCGGTGACACTAGAGAGATTCGGATAGATGCTAAATGAAGTATTTTTCAGACCAAAGAGTAAATTCGGATCAGAATTTTAAATACAATAGAGGGGAGAGAGATGGGTCAAGCAGATGGTAGAACGCTTCACTAAACCCCCTCAAAATACAAATTTGGAGTATTCCAGCATAAAGTTGGATATAGGATGAACTTTGCTTGTCTCTGTGATGAGTTGTAACTTGGTGCTAAAAGTGGTAAGGCTCATCATCGATGCCTGCGAAACGTCTGGGAAGGTACCTAGTTTATGGTTCGATGCGCTTAAGTACTTCAACAGAGGAGTCCGGATAACGTGAAATCATCAAGGTCTCCTTTGCGACACGACCAAGTTGCATAAACGAGGTCAAACCACTGACATAGATTCAATTTTTATTAAACTAATTTGGTTATTCATAGACGAGTGGACTAAAAACAAAGATAAAGATCTGAGGAAGACTTAGAGAACAAAGAAAATAGAACAATTCGTATATTAGTGTCGGCAACTAACATCGTATTTTAAAACTGAAAGACCTCCGTTTAACCGCAAAGAACTGATTGGCCTCAGATTTTTCGATAGAATGATTTAAATAAATAGTCCAGAATAAGTATCATATTCATGAAATGAAATTGTCAGGAACATTTGCTAGATAAAGAAGGATGGCAAATCTTTAAATTGAGCCCTGTATGCTCAGGCAACCTACTTTATCTGCTGTTGGGCTTGAAGGAAGCTATCCAACCAAACAGTACAAAGCTGACCGTCACCAGGACCAGCCAAATTTAGAGACATGGCTTCTATAAGGATGCTTGAAGAAGACAGAGGAGGCCGATCAACCCGAGCATCTTGATTGGGACGATTATTCTGATGGAGCTTATTAGGAGTTATATATACGCGAGCTGGTATAGCTGGAGATGATGTAGAGAAAGCAGGGTGGCGTGAAGGGTAAAAGCATGGATAGAGAGTGTGAAAAAGGCGTCTCGGTTCTGGAAAATCATGAGGACGTTGTGGGAACGAAGAAAAAGTGGCGATCGAAGTTGGGAATGCGGATACGGCTTGGGGGTCTGTGTTAGTAGATGCGGGCTCGGTGGCACTCATGGCATCCAGCGATCTGGTCGACAAAAGACAATCTGCAAGGATAAAATATATTCATAAAAGCATAAATTACTCCTGCCGAATAAGATGATGAAGCATATTCGATAAGGCTTGGTAGCATGGCATCCAAGGTCCAAAGTCCTGACTGAAGTTGATCAATTTCTAGATGAATAAGATAATTTCATATGCGAATAAAAGGTGGGTTTCGAAGAATCTCTTTGTTCATAATTGCTGAGCTTACTAACATATCGAGAGGAAGTGTTTGGTGAAGAGAGTATAAGGTCGATCGCATCAGAACACGACGACGGAATCCTCCTGACCAGTTGTCGATTGACGTTATAGGAACATTTAAAGATAATCAGATAAGTTTTCC